GCTCCGATTTGAAAGGAGCCATCTGGATTCTGTACTGAATGTAACATAAATGCTAATATTCAAGGATATTTATAGGTGACATATGGGAACTAGTACATGTAAATTAGTGGGTTTTGGTTCGGATTACACAGGAAAGTTCAGCGAAGCCAGGTGCTTTAGTAGTTTAGTGACTTGGCTTCAAACCTCCAGAGCCACAGGTTCAAATCCTTCCTGAGTTTATGCTTGCCCATGGGCCCTATGGCAATAAATGCATTAGGCAGACATGGAAAGGAGCCCAGAGCTGTGGCCTTGCCCTAGGCATAACTGCCTGATAAGTATTGATACAGGCAGCGTTGTTATGCCAAGATCTGGCAAATGCACCGCCTAGCTAAAGCCGTTGGGTAGGACAGCTGCCTTCCTATCAAGGGTATTGGGGGTAATATTGGAGTGCCCCTTTTTAGTAATAGCAGGAAGAATGAAAAGCCACCACCCTGGGACTAACCACAAGCAATCTGAGGAGTTTCCTAGTTGTCGGATAAACTCAGGAGGAATGGACTGACTGACTGCAGCCATGGAAGAGGAGGAACGTCACAGAGGCATACAGGGAAGGAGGTCTCAAGCACATCCGTGGGGCACTTCTGGTGTCGTGTAGGAAGGGAGGGAGCTACGAGCGATCTTTGGGCAGAGCGCAGGCCGGAGAGAGGTCGTGAGCAAAGGAACCCTTGTCTGCTGCTCAGTTGTGACTATGCACATCCTGCACAAATGCAAAGAAAGACTTGACTGCATCATCCTAAGACTTCCCTCCCCCTAAAAAAAAAAATTCGGCTAAGCTTTCAAGTTAAAGGGGGGAGCAGTATCCCCTATTCAAGCTCCAGAAATGAAGTAGAGATTCAGGCTGACGTTCTGGAGCAAAGTCAAGCCGCTGCCTCCACCTGCAGTTTGGTCAGACCTCTCCATCCATGTTGGGACAGGAAGTGCAAGGGAGGCCTGAAATCGGGTGGAGGATGCAGGCAGTGACATCTTCCAAATATCTTCGGGCTCGGACTTCAAACCAAGGCTTTGAGCAATGGTAACCATTAGCATATCTACCTCTTTTTCCTGCATTCGCAAGGAGGGATGCTTGTCCCTGCGCCCTCCCCGAATTCCAGTTTGTTGGCTGCAACGGGTTATGCGGCCATTCGTTTCCTGTCCTAAAATGCTGCGGTGCACGGCTGGGCAGCGGGGTGGCTGTCCTCCAGCGCGGGGTGACGCGGTTTAGTGTTCACATAGGGCTTCACCATTAGGCATACAGGTGCTCGGTGCCTATGGGATGTATGCGACTCTGGAGATCCGTCTGGAAGAGAGCAGCACTGTGGAGCTGAAGATCCTGGATTCAAGCCCTGAGCAATGCAAGGACTGTGTTCAGTCCTATACCAGACCAGGGACTTTAGGAGCGGCAACCCCTCAGGATGCATTTTCTCTGTGAGACAGGATAGGTAACCCCGTCTAGCCCATTTATAGCACTGGTGCCTGCTCCGGGTAGGCACAGCAGCCTGCTCTCAGCTAGTGGAGCTCCTTCCATTTAGATGAGATATTTGCACTCTGGGTTGGAAAGCCCCGGTCCTAGTCTCAGCCGACAGCTCCCCGGTGCATTTACATCCACATGAAACCGGACAGGTACGGCGCTTGAAATTTTTCAGGCCCGCAAAGGAACCGCGTCCTTTGGCAGTAAGCCCCTCGTTGCATCTGCTCCAGCTAAAAGGTCAACTTGATTTAACGCTTTTATTTATGACAGAAGAGCAGGCAGCCTGACAGCTTTTACTAACTACACCGGGATCGGCTGCCAGCAGACTCACTGTGGCCATTACTCTCCTCACCTCTTTAGGAGACGGATGCCTCTTGTTTACAGCCTTGCCCGCAACATTAAATTGCAGCCGTAAAGCATTTCACTGGGGGCCTCCTCCAGCTGATGAGCCAATTTAAAAATGTGCTAACTGCATCGCATGTGTTTCCATCTGCATGGGGAAGTGGATGGGTTTGAATGTCACCCAGGCTTAGAGAGGGGAAGTGGGAAGATGGATTATGTTGGCAGCGATCCATCCATCTGTTTAGCTGCCAACTCTAATGTTTAGTTTCGCAGCATCCCGGTTGTCTTAAATAGTGCTGACCTACAGGGTACGGGTTGGTAAAGGTCACATAGCTCATTTTCGCCCTCTGTTTCTCAAGTGATAATTAAACTCTCCGAGGTGTTATAACTACCCGTAGTTAAAAATGACGGGCAATATTTGCCGAGGCTAGATGGCATCCTCCTCCGATGTGTACAAGGGTGCTGGGCAGGTAGCACTTTTCCTTCTGACAAGTGTTCCCATGACCATGCAACCTCCGTAGCAATCGCAGTGCTAGTTAATACATACCCCGTCCCCAACAGAGGATGGGGTGAGCAACTGGCTGCTCCATCCTGAGGAGCAGCACACTTCCCCGCACAGCACTTCCAGCAAGAAGAAACCTGTAAAACACTGCATCACGTATTTGCTGTTTCCATCATTTCACTTGTCCAGGGTGTTTGCCCTTGTTCAGTTTGGGTCATCTCAGCCTCTGTGCAAGGCGTAGCTCTATTACCATGCAGTGTTCATCTTTGGTTATATGAAGACAGCGTTTGGGAAGGAAGTGTAAGGGTCATGTTGTAGCTGTGACGGTCCAGAAATTATGAGAGAGACAAGGATTTCTTAGGGCGATATCTTTTATTGGACCAGTGATGTAGTTGGGATAGACTTAGAGGCACTTTCAAATGCAAGAAGGTCTTGATTTCATACCTTGCATTCAAAAGCTTGTCTGACTATCCCAACTACACCGTTGGTCCAATAAACGATGTCGCCCTAAGAAATCCTTGCCTTTGGTTAAGAAAGGCAGCAGCATTTTTTCAGGCCAAAAAGCACAGTCCTATGTGATGTAGGTTCTCTTTTTGGCCCTAATTTTTGCCATTTTAGAGCTGCATGCATGGTTTGTAAGGCAAATGACAATCCTCAAGCTCCTATGTGAGGAAATCTGAAAATCTGACGAACAGAGAAGAGAAAGCCCGAGGAGGTGAAGGGACTCACCCAAGGCCATACGGTGTGTCAGTGGCAGAGATAGACATGGCTCTTTTGATGCCCATTCCAGTGGCACGTCGGTGGGGCACTCTGAGAGCGCTCCGCTGCACAGGGAGCCGCCAAGGCTAAGCTGATCTCGGGAGCGCATTGCACAAGATCTCATGTATGGCACAGGGAAAGGTGCTCTTTTGCATCCCTTCCTTTACCCCCAGCATGCTTTGCAGCCCTCCCGAGAAGAAGGTGCAGAAAGGATGCCCTAATCAGCTGTAGCCTGCAGTGTCACCAGCAGGTAGCATTCACCTTCATTAAGCATCAACTGCACGTGAGCAAACAAGCCCTCTCTTCATATCCTGCTCCGGCGAAGCTCAGTGACCTGAGGCCATTTCTCTCCTGCTGATGGTGTGGACTGGGAGCTGTCAGGGCACCGAAGAGAGGCCTTGATCTCGTTCAGGGGATCTCAACAATATTTATGGGCTGAATTATACAGCATGGGGAGAGGTGCATCCCTGGGCGTGCTCTCTGCAAAGAGCCCATCAGATGCACTGACAGAAGTCAGAGGAGTCTTGCTCCCTCCTGCATTCGGACAGCCGGGGCATGGGGTTGTGGAAGGGAGAGGCAAGCACTTTGGGTCTCTCTGCAGGTAATCCCATAGCCCTGCCTCACTGCTGCTCGCAAGGCAGTCGGTTCCCAGCCCAGGGTCTGCGGCAGCTCGCGGAGTTAAGGTTCAGCTCTATGACACCAGGTGCTAGTCGCATAGGAGACGAGCAAAGGGCTCGTGCCCAGGGGTCCAGGGTAGGGAGCACCGTGGATATCATCCTCTCTAGTTCCTGCTCTCTGCCGGGCATTTTCGGGATTTACTGTCTGCTCGCGGGTATCTGCTTGGGTGAAAGCAGGACCCAACCCGGGGAGGGCACTTTGGGCTTAGTCCGTTCACTCCCAGCCCTCGCAGCAGCTCTGTGCTGGTTGGGGTCAGTCTCCCGTGGCAGAACAGCTGGTTGGAAGAGGACCGGGGTCTCCTTCTGAGCCAAAAGACTGGCTCTGCATAGGGTGAAGCAGTATGTAGGAGTTGGATCATGAAGCAGTGGCTCAGCTGACCGTCCCTTGGCACGGCCGCTGCCTTCATTTTCCTTTTCTGGAAGTGGATACTTTAGCCTTCCTGGCAACTCCTGGCAATTCCTCCCTTTCCAGGGAAAGTTTAAAACCTTCCCCTGTCCCAGAAGAGTTTGCATTCCCAGGGACGCTATGTTCCCACGGACCTTCCCTGTCCCAGAAGAGCTTGGGCAGCTATTTTGTACCCTCGTGTGCGTTTCACACGCCATCCCCGTTGTGCATGGCAGCTGTGCCCGTGCATTTGGACAGAGAGTCCAGAAGGCTGGGCTGCCCTGGGAACATGGCCAAAGGTGGCCTTAAAACACCCACCCAGGACTACACTTAAGTCACTTGCTTCTCTTCTCCCCCCGCCCAATTTTTCACGTCTTGGCAGAGAGGTGGAAACCTGCCACCACTGTGATCGGAGCAAGGGAAGCAATGTAAAGGGTTTGCACTAGATTTAAAAACCAGACTGTTTTTAGCAGCCCTGTGTGAGCTCTGCAACAGAGAGTCGGTTGTATGAACTACATGTCGGTGGCCCAGAGCTACTCACATATTTATGTAGCCATAAATTTCCTTTCTAACCTCACGAACCTGCATTTTGTTTATTTATAGACAGTCCTTCTAGCAAAGAAAACCTTGTGTTTGAATTAAGGGTAGGATGGACCAGAACCCAGACAATGGCTTCAAACACCTCCCGGCTTTAGGCACTGTTCTGGCACGTCCTTTGTATTGAAGTCTGTAGATTGAGGATAACAATAATTAGGATCTTTGATAGTCAAGCTATTCAGTTAGCCCCTGTAGGGTTGTACTGAAATCACTCTGAAGCTTGCGGAACAAGATCTTTTTTACTGGCAGGTGGTTTTAAACCTCCCTATAGACAGTAAAGACATTTCTGTCTACAGGATGGTTGGAGGGGCGAGGGGAGAGACTTCCAAAAAGAGCCCCATTGTCTACCAAGAAAGTTATTCCAAGTTTCTGGGATGGGGAAGATGATGAAGGAGGGCAGGTTTCAGGAGAAGGTGGAGGGGACTGACAATGGATTACTGTGCATTTGGGGAGGGAGGGGAAAAATAAAGGGCTTTTTTTCAGTTTAAATGTTTAAATGTTAAAAGCCAGCAGAGCCAGAAGCGACCTGGACCCTGGGCATGAAAGGCCTCTAGTAGGGGGCAGAGGGGCCCAGTTACAGGGGCCAGGATAGCAAAGCCAGATTGCAAGGCACAGCAATAGGGATCTGGGTCTAAGTCTCCCCTGCCACAGGGATCTTTTGGAGGGGTCGACTCCCCATCACATTGCGGCATAGAGCCCTCCACAGCCCTTTCACAGTACAGGTATACCTCAAACTCTCAGCCCTCACAGCCCGGTCTTTATTTGTAAGGGCCACACAGATTTCCCCAGCCTGAAAACACACTGCATCACCTCCCATACCATGTGCCCTGTGAGCCGGCCACCTTCCCCTGGCCTTCAGGCACAGGAGACAGCTTGGGAACGCAGAGCCACTCAACACCCTCAAATGCCCGCCCCAGACCCTGTGCAATTAAGCCTTCCAGGCTACTCAGCTGCAGGTGCAATGCAGGCAATGCTATATAAACCCACTGCCCTGATCTACTGGGTTCACAGCAGCCTCTGCCATAGAAATCCTTCAAGCTAGAGCTTAAAGACAGTGAGATTTTGGCACTGATGCCAATAGATGCCAAAGCAAGCCCTGACTGTCCAGCGAAGGAGCTGGTCCTCTGACTCTCACCCAGTCCAGGAGGGTGTCTGTCGAGCTTATGTTCCCACCCCTTTGCCTACCCCTATGTGCATGTGGTTTGGGATTGATGACAGTGTTGGGATCCATCTTTAATGCAGAGCTCTCAGGCAGCTTTGCCTGCAGCAGGAGAGCTGGGGTTGCTCTTCTCCAGTCTGTTAGGCCTGGATGGGAGGTAAGAGTACGAGTCCAGTTTAAAGGGCTTGGCTTTCCGTTCTTGCACTTTTAGCTAATTTCTGTGCTGGCCAAGTTTCGAGCTTTCCTACATCTTCAGTTCTCTCTCCCAGTGGCTGTCCCTGGCTGCAGCTTTTCTTCCTAACTCTTTCAGGAGAACTGATGCCAGTTTCTTTGTTGCAGCCAAGAGCTTATGGATGGAAAATAAAGGGCCTTATTAAGGAATGGGATTTAAATACACAGTGGGTGCTTCTACATGTGCAATTAATGTGATGTGATAAACTCTGGCGCAGTTTGAGTGAACTGCTCCCAGGTGCAGCGTCTGCACATGCACCTGGGACAGCAGCAAGTTGAGGAGCCCCAGGCTGGCAGCAGGCTCCGGGGGTCAGCCCCAGGCTCTGGGTGGTGGTGTCAGGTGGTGGAGGGGCTGCCTGGGGCACAAGAGAGCCATGCAGCAGCCAGCCCATGCACTTTATCACCCTCGCGCCCCAGCCAGCCCCCGTCACCAGCTATATGTGTGTTTTTGTGGAGTAAGTAACTGCACCGGAGGGTACTATCTTATGGCAGACTTAATTAATTTACTGCACCCTAATACCGGTGCATGTGTAGACAATGATGCTTTACTGTGGAGCTGATTAGTCAACTCCACAGTAAAGTGCACGTGTAGATGCACCCAACACAGTTCCCAATGGCATATTTTCTGCCATGGGGAACACGCCACCTCTCTCGGTTGAGCTGTGTAGACTCACCGCATGCTGAGAATATGTGCGTCCTCCCAGATACATGGGAAACCCTAACCCTATGAACACAAGGATTGGAAGGAAGAACAAAAGTCGGTGGCTTGGACTTCACCCGGGATTTTGTCCCACTAACAGGGGTTGAAGGCACTCAGCATCTTGCTGTCCCTGGTTGATGAACTCCTGTGAAATGCAGCATCTTCTGACTACAGATCTGCCCCTGGGAGTACTTGGAGTCGTGTAGCTTGAACCAGTTAAACCAAATTGTCATTGGTTTTTCATGTCCATTAGCCAAGCTGGGCAAAGGAGTGGGCTGGATCCTCTTGCAACAAGGCAGTCATTAACTGAGGTGGATGCAGGTTTGCTGCTGCTAAGCCTGCATTTCTTCAGCATGACTTCAAGCTCCCCTGGACCACTGGCAGGCTTGTCAGGAAGTTGTTCCCATCCTTCTCCTTGTAATGTGTTCACCTTGGGTTTAGTGCCTCGGAGAGAAGAGCCAAGAAGATGGGAGCCCACAGGTTGGGAAGCTGCCGATACCGACTCCGTGCATCAGCTGGCTTCCTGGCCCACCAGGAGGGTAAAACTAAATCCAAGTGTCCAACTTCCCCATGGTGTCAATACCTGCAAATTGGACATTATGCCTTACAAGCAATCAGGAGGAACAGTTAATAGACTTGGATAAGCATAGACCAGGAGTAAATGCTCACTTTTAACCATCCATGAGGTTCTTGTTATAGCAGCTATGAAGAGAAGCATGGAAAAGTCGGGTTGGAAGGAACCGGCAGAAGTCGTCCAGCAAAACCGATCTTGTGGCCAAGTGGGACAGAGATGCGGAGAGAGGGTACACTTCTGGATTGAAAGAACAGCCCCTCTCACCATACGGTCGAGAAGGAAAGAAGCTCATTGAAGTGGCCCAGGATTTTAAACCTGAATCTGTAGATAAAAGGGACAGCTCTGAAATGGGTGGAGTGAGCAAGGCCATCTCTTCTCCCCCTGGTGAAGAACTCGTGTATTTGGGAACTTGAGACAATAAACACAGAACAAATGTGATTAAAAACCACCAGTTACATCAGAAAATGGACTCTTGTCTCTTCCCTCCACGTAAAGACCTTTCAGACTCCACGGTACATTAAGATCCCGTTTATAGAGATGGCCACACGATCATTATTAGATAAGGACCAGAGACAAAAAGTCCACGTGTCTATGCCCCCGTGATGCAGAGGGGTCTGAAAACAGTGATCGTATCAGCTAGGGCACATCCACTATAGCAATGCAATTATACAACAATCATACTTATTTGACGCCCCATATGGATGCCCTTCTTCAGTAACAAATCCTGAGCAAGAACAACTTCCTGGCATAAGGGTGTCCAGCTGGGGAAGTATCCAATTAGAGTGGATTCGTTATGCTAATATAGTTCTGCTACTGTAGACAAGGAGAAAAAAAAGTGTGTCTTCACTTGGAAAAAGTGGTGCGTTCTTAACTTACCCTGCATTTCCCGGGGAGAAAGAGGGCGGTTCGTGGTTTCTAGAGAAATTTGCTGGTCGAGGTAGAACACCAGGCTCTTTTTTAGCTTTTATTCTGGTCTTTGACTTTGTTCCCCACTTGTTAGTCCACACGTGATTGCTAACAGGAGCTTTTCCTCCCCGTCCAAGGAGAGAGAGCAGGCGGGTACAAGAGATGGTGTCCTTCCATTGAATTCGTACAGCCCCTTTGCCAGTGGTCGGCCGCCGTGCTAGCTGTCATTCTCTGAATACCAACGACAGATGTGAAACCCTGCCTGGGTTCGTAGAGGAGAAATAAATCAGGTAAAACCCTCAGTCTCACAGGAACACTGTTATCGAGACAGACTAGGTTTAAATTAATGAGATTATTCCTATCTTTCTTGTACCTGTGTGGTATATGGAGGGTGGGCAGGATGCCATCTTTACAGTCAGTTTTGAAGTGCAGTTTTGCTCTGAAAAGTCTCTTGGAATTGAAGTTAAAGAGCATCCGTTCCTAAATGAGTCTGGAAAGACAGGGACTTCCCAGCTGATCCACTAGCAGTATGTCAGTGGGCACATTAAATTGCCCCCGGGACTGCAGGAGAATGCAAAATCCTGGGGGGGGGGGGTTTGTGGAAAAGCCTGGAATCCGAACTCGTGGTAGAGGTGATATCTTTTATGAGACCAACTAGATTTGTGCAAAATAAAATGTCTCCAATTGCAAGCTTTCAGGCACAAGCACCCTTCTTGAGGCATCAGAGAAAAGTCTGTGAAAGTTTTCCCGGGTCGAAATGAAAGTTCGTATTTCATAGGAGAGGTGAAGGGGTGTGAAATCCTTGCCTTCTTGAAATCAGTGGCACGACTCCTAAGCTTGCATCCGGATGGGGGGAAAAAAACGGCACCGACGTGAGTCTGCAAAAATGAAGGAACTTGGGAAAAGGGAGAGGTATTTCGCCGTGCCAGCCTTAAGCGGGGCAGAAGGCAAGGCCCAAACTTGTGCCTCCCTGAACAAGGATCTCTAACGGGCCTCCCTGCCCTGCCGTCGTCAGCAGAGAAAGAGAAGCAGTGTCACCCCCACCGCTGTCGGTAGATGAAGGGCTTGGCCCGTCCCTGGGGATACGTTTCGAGACAGGATAACGGGGTAGAGGACTCCAAGAGCATCTGCTCGAGGTCAGAGTGTCACCCCCCCTTCCCCGCCCCCCCGTTTGAGGACAATCTCAGACTTCCCCAGGGGCTTTTCTCTCCTCATTTTTTGTTTTTCTGGCTTTCTCTGAATTCCCACCAACTCCACGGGCTGTCCATCAATATCGCCATAGCAACGAGAAGTCATTTAATGGGATTCTGGCCTATAGCGCGCGAGATCCTGCGAGCTGCTGAGCACATCCCGTGATCTGACGAGTGCCGTCTGCTCCCGCTAGCTGCAGGGGAAGTGGAAAGGACTCCGGACCCCAGCAGGATGAGATCCCCATCCCCTCTGCATCGCCCAGCGGTGCAAAGCACGGCCTCCCTCCAGCCAGGCAGGCATGTGTAATGCAGGACTTTATGTGCTAATGAGGCAACGCTGCCAGTAAAAGCCTGGCAATGCTCGCTGCTCCAAGAAAGTCATGCCTCACCACTGGGGTTGCTCGCCGGGGAGAGATGCTTTGCATTATAAATAGGCGATTTCTCCTGGCAAACTGGAGGGAACTGAGAGCAGAGCAACGGGACCAGTTCAGGAGCTGGCAGGGCCAATTTCGGAGGAGAGATAAAAGGAGCAATGTCAAACCGGGTTAAACGGTGCCTAAGGGAGATAGATCAATAGGGGCCGATTCTCAGCCGGGGTAAATCAGCATCAGCTGCAATGCACTGATTTCCTCCGGTCGGTGTTGGAACGGGAACGATGAGAAGTAGCCCACGGGGGCATAGCAAGGGCTGCGGAGATGAAAGCGAGTAAAGGAAAACTCCAGCTTCGGAGCCAACTCCCTCCCTCTCAACCCCAATTTGGCCATGACCTTCTCCCGTGGGACGTGGCGGACACATCCCATTGCTGGACACGTTGAATCGAGCTCTCAGGATGTCTCGGATCGGTCCTGCATTCAGAGCGGCGTGGGGGATGGCAGCCCATTAGGTTTTCCTTGTTTCTGACACTTTCAGATGGCTGCAAAAACACCCCTCCATGCCAGCATGGGTCCTGGAGATAGTCCCGGGGATTTGCAGTGTTTTCAGGGCCAGTGTTAAAGCAGGATGAGGCCTGCCGTTTGTACGTGCCATTGCTTTCCCTCTGTTTGCAAGCTAGGTAGGGAGGAAGCGCAGAGACGTTATCCATCCCGGACGCTTTGCGACTGGTCCTGTTGGTGAATCGGCCACATGGATTTGGTACAGATCCACTCGGAGGGGCTTCCCCTCTGCAGCACCAGTAAGCGGTCTGCGTGCTCGTGAGTCCCAGGGTCTCTCCGCGGACACGACGCGCTTCCTCCCGACCCGCGGTGCCCTTGCTGCCACCGTCCTGACCTTCTGCAGCGCAGGCCGCCACCACGATCAATACGTCGGAGCACGATGCGAACAAATGGGTTTGGGATGAAATCATCAAGCTCACTTGACCTTGTGACCCGAGATACATTTTTTAACACGGCTCCCCGCATCCTCCAGGGTCTACTTCTAATCTCACTTAGGGCCTGATTCAGCATCTTTTGATGGCGGTGAAATACATCCATTGATTTTCGGGGGTCTTGGCTCACAACGCTATTCCAGAGCAATTCAATTTAAATCACTGGAAATGCATCATTTTTTTCTACACCCCGCTGACAAGATCAGAATTAGGCTGTATGTCTTCTTCTCCCAGGGGGCAAGTATAATAGCCCACTGTCCACTGAGTCCCCAAAATTAGAGATTTACAGCCATGCTACAGAGAGCCCCCTTGGAAAAGTCCAGGTCCAGAGGCACCGTTGGCAGAGATCTTTCCAGTTACCAGTTTTCTATTGTGTTAATCTCACCCACTTGCTGTGAGTTGAAGTGTTGACCTGTGACTCTCGCTAGACATTAGCACCAGGAAAGAGGAATTTATTTCCCTGTTATGGGGGTTGGACAGATCTTGGTTAGCATTGGAGGGTTTCAATGAGAGGCTGGGGAAGCATTTGGGGAGGGAACAGCAAATCCTCCCTTGCAGCAGGAGGCTGGACTAGAGGACCCAAGAGGTCCTTCTGACTCCCCAGGTGAGAACGTACTGCTAATAGCTAGCCGTATTGCTAAATTTAGGAGAATAAGGACTGTGAATCCAACTCCTAAAGCCAGGAGTCTGGCCCTGAATAGATATTTTTAAGCTCCCTTGACTTTTTAACTTTCTTCTACATTTTCACTCTCTTCTACTCATCTACCAATGAGTATGTGAAAAATGCACAATAAAATTCAGCTTTAAATCCACCCAAATACACTCACCTCTGCTCGACTGCTCAAACAGGAACTCTTCTTTCCTCCCCTCCTCTTCCGTTTCCTGTTCCTATCTTCACTTCCGTCTTCTTATTCATCTCCTAATGCTCCCATCGTGTGTCCAATGTCCTGTGTTCCTCCACACCGCCTCTAAACCAGACATGAAGAAGCATGGAAAGATTTTGGAGAATTGAGATGCATCCCCAGCCACACCTGAACAACATCGCCTTGAATCACTTGGGTTGGCTGCATAAATACGAATGACCCCCAAATGACGTAGTTACGTTTTGTTATCCAAAATAACGTTTTGCTTTAATGGCCTTTCTTTCCTGGGGCCCGAGACCCTCAGCTGACCTTGATCCCCCCAACTTTTTCTCCTCTCACAGCCCAAGAACCAGCAGCAACTCTTCCTCCTCTCCCCATTTCTGTTGGCCTTATTGGGGCCCTTGGCTTTGTAGACAGAGATACAGTCCTACCTGCAGGTATGTGCTTTCTCCCCTGCAGGCTCTCCTCCAGACCTCTGCCCATGTATTATGGAGCCATTCCTAGAGGGCATGGGGATAGAAAAGTTTTCATATCATTGTGAGAGCTTCTATCCATGGATGGATCTAGGATTTTGAAAAGCGGGGTGCAGATGATGTTGTGCATCATCACATATAACATAACGCTTACTTTTGTGTCAAGTGAAAAAAAAACCAAAAGCTTTACTAATAAGCAAGCGGCCTAGAGCTATATTATTCAGTTTGAGATTGGCACAAAAACCAATATAAATTTGCTATATAGCCTGTATAAAACAAACTAGGCAACAAAGAATCAAAAGACAGTGTTTCCATAGTCCTGTCATCATTAAAATGCAATGGACATATTTTTATTTTCAGATGTATTGATCAAAATCTAGCCTTCTTGAGGATCTGGACAGTGCCTCCAATGCTTCACTAAAAACTATTCTCACACCTGAGTTAATGTTTTTAGGTAGAGTTAAAAACAATCTGCATGGCTATGAAATAGGAGATATATTACCAGGAGAACTGAGAGAGAGCAAAATTGCAGAAGAGAGAATAACTTAATTAGTGGAACATGAAGAGCACTGAAAAAGAAGCAAGGGTTGGTAATGAGCATGGAAGGAATCAGGTAGATTATAATGAGCCATGAAGTCAATTGACTCTCCGAGCGCTGCCTGCCTAGAAATGCTGCTGCCATTAGTTGGTTTTATAGTTTGGGTGGGGCAGGCATTGGCAGGAGCATGACTGGTACCACTGCACCCTGGCTGGATCCACCCCTGCTTCTACCACAGGCTCCCAAGCCCCATGACTTGGCCATTCATGAGTTCTGGGAGCAGGTCGGAGCGGACCTGGGGCTATGCCTGGGGTTGTTGGAAGTTATGCACCAGCTGCTGCTCTGAGCCGAGGCTGCCGTGACAGCCCTGACTTTTCCTGCTGCTCTTCAGCAGCACAAATCTGCTTGTTTCCATTTTGTGACCCTGGGCTATAATAGATGCTGGCACCATTTTACAGGAGAGTGGCTGTTGGGCACAGGGAGAGGACGACAGCTGTGATGTGCTGTATTGTGCTGTAGCAGAGTTCAGACCTGGATCCTGATTTCCCCAGAGCTCTGGTGAGGGGTGAGTGAGATACTCTGGCTCAGATCCATCCTCAAGAGAGGGGGTTGAGCCTGGGAGCTCAGAGCCCGGTGTGAAATTCCTCCATGGTGTAAGTCTGGTGTTCGGTTCTCAGCCTGCTCCTAGCTGTGCTTCCTGAGCCGGGGTACCTGGGGTGAGAGCAGTGAGCTTTAGGCTGCCTGGTGCTTGAGGGATGTAAATACCTTAGGGCATGGTGGGTCTTTGTACACACCACCTTTTTGTTCTTTCTTGCACTGCAATGGTGTGACTGTTTGCACAAGCGGGTTCTCTAGATGCTTTAAAAGTCTTTCTGGTGCATTAAAGTAAAACTCCTTGGACATATTTTAGTTTGGCTTGCCATGAATGAAAGTGTTGCATCCATGGATTCGTTGCGTGCAAACAGAAAGGCATTCAAAGACGTGTAACGAGCCTCTTTGTCCACCAGATGATGCTGCGCCTTTTTTGTAATTCACCCCTTCGAATTGCTTGTGTTTTCAAATTGCTTCTGTGTTGTGTTTTTTTCTTGTGCTGTTTGCCGGCTCCATGCTCCCACAGCTGCCTGGTAGGGCACAGAGTGGGGGACCGAAGTGGGGGCAGCACTGGACCATCCCGCTCTCCTGCAGCACTGGCTGGAGACTGGGCTTAATTTGTTCAAAATCCAAGCGCATGCAAACACAGATGCAACGCTCCAAAGCTTAATATGTTCGAAAACCTAGTGGATGCAAATACTGATGAGATGCCCCAAAATAAACAAGTTTAAATTTTATAAACCAATTTAATTTAATGAGGATTAAAGCTCGTGGTATCTACAGGCACCCGGTGTGGGCACAGGGCAGGTTGCGCTGCAGAAACATTCAGGATTCCTAAATCTGATCTGAGCATCGGACTCTTAACCCACCCATGGGGCACGGAGAGCATGAATTATGGGGTCTGTCCCTCAGAAAGCCAGGCCAGCAGCTGCTCGGTCATGGAAAGTATGGCGTGTCCTGCCAAGGGGCTGTCACACCTGGGTGCTTCCTCCTCACCGTAGTCCAATGAATGCAGCTGTATTGCTGGCGAGGGTGGCAGAGCTCATGGTCACCGATAGATGCAGCTGTCTCTGGGGGCACCTTGCCGGCACTGTCACCGAACAGGGGAAGTGGTGAGATGACAGGCCATCAGGACCTCCAAAACCTTTTGCCTGCACAAACGAAAGAAGCTGGCCTCCTGTTGTGAGAGGGTGAGCACCAGCCCCTGCACCACTTTTGTGCTCTTAGCTGCAATCTCTGAGGGATTTTGCTGCAAGAGACCGAGCAAATGCAGGCTGCCTTGCCTTTGCCAGGACCTTTTTCCCAAACTGCAAGAGGCAGGCAAGCTGCAGTGGTGCCAGCTTCCCTGAAAGTCATTCTCCCAAAGCCAGGGCACAGCTTTGCCTACCTGTGACGAGGTGAAATAATGTGTCAGCACCTGCGGGAGCCCCTACCCCAAAATACAGGTTAATGTGTAGTTCTGATGACTCCTGAAGTGTCACTCGAGGAACCGTGGGCAAGTAGCCTTTGCAAATGAAGCTCACAAAGGTAACCCATTTTTGGTTTACCTACAGAGCTCTTTCTCCTCTGGAGCGCCTGACTCTCGACCTTCTTAGACTCATCACTTCAGACGCCATCACTTTTCTGAATTTAGCAGCACCCTGTTTCAAAAAATAACTATGGAAAAATACTGAAATTCTTCTGTTTCAAAAAAACTCTGAAAGACCAGAGCGGGCCGGAGCGGTTTGGATGCTACAGATTCCTACCTGAAATTTCTGACCTGATCTGGGGAATCACGTGGAGGCATTTGCATACTTAGCAGTGTTAATGTTGCGTGGCACCCTGCAGCACCCGTTAAAGGATCTCGTGGCACTGCAGGGTGCTGGCACCCAAGTTGAGAATCACTGGTCGCGAGTTTGAGGTCACCTCTTGCAAATGGGTGTCCTGTCAGCCCCAAACATAATTCATTCAATAGAGTCTATAGAAAGCAGCAATGGAAAAGGAAGGGTCGTGGCTCTACTTTGCAATGGGTTCCTGTTGCTACCTGACAGCTGGATCATGTCCAGTGCTGCTGCCTGAAAAGAGATAGTGAGAGAAAGATGGACAGAGAGAAACAAAGAAGGATAAAGAGACGGGGTGGATGGAAGCAGAGATGGAGATGGAGGGAAAGCGAGACAAAGAGAGGTGGTTAAGAAAGCATCTTATTTCTGGATAGGGGAAGTGCATCTTCCTGGTGAATCTTGCCCTAGCTCCTGTTTGCAATGAGTCAGATTTGAGCTAGCTAGCTTGGGTCAAAAGACAGCAGAAATGGGTCTACGCAGCAGGGAGAGGGAAGCAGGTCTCTGGAGAGGAGGCGCAAGGGGCCACAAGATGGGAACACCAGCAAAGGAGGCTCAGCTGGCAGCTTTGTGGCCTCTCGTCTGGGTCCTCGCGTGCAGGGCGCGCAGCAGACACAAGCCCAGCAGCAGCTGGGGAGGAGCCGATGACGGTGAACGGATCCATGGCACGAATCGCAGATAAGCAGCATAAGGCAAACCTGCAGCAGTGAATGCAAATACCTCGGAGGGCTGTGTACGCGAATCCGCGGGAAGTCAAGTCTCCTGGTGGTTTTCAGAGCTACCTGTCACCATTTCACTACCTCCGTTACAGCAGATGGGCTCGGTGGGTGCTGCTATTGTGCTGGTACCTCCTCTTGCAAGAGCTTCCAAGGGATGATGCACAACGGGTCTGAAAGACCCCAGCTTCCACTGGAAAGCACAGGGATTTAGGGGTCGTCACAGCTGTTCCAAGCTGTTTGAAGCGATGAACCAAATTTCCATTAAAATGAACTTTAAAAAAAAGCACACCCTGTCCCGCGGTTCTCAGCATCCCTCCTCTCATGCTTTCAGGCGGCGAGATGCAGCCCCTGTTCCTACTCTAGCATGCATCATCAGGTAGACTGTTATAAAGGATGAATGAATTGGTGCTGTGTCCAGGCTGGTTTGTGCAATGAGATCCTTAGTGATAGTGTGTTATTTATGACTTGGTGTCTCTAAAGGCTGCATAATGTTGGGGAATAGAAAGCCCCCAATTTCCACAATGCACAATGTCTCAGGGAGAGTCCCATGGTGAACCGGGAAAACCAAGCTGGCGGTGTGGATCCACAGACTCGCTGGGGTTAGGCGCTTTGATAAATGCATCCTAAGATAATCTGCAGCTCCATATATCCTGACAATTTATGCGTTCCTGGCACCATATAGATTATTAGGAAGACAAGTTCCATGCTTCAAGGAGCGCGACAATAATTGAAAGACGAGTACAACAAATGGGAGACACGCACGGTGTAGCCCTTCCTCAAAGAGCATCCTGACTTATGCCAACAGGCTCAATGAGGGGGGCTGTGGAGGAGAGGCTGGACTCCTGCGTGTCAGCAGCACGCAGCGGCATTGAGGGCTGCAGTATCAAGCTCAACAATATTAATCTATTTGCAGTAGGGACTTGACTTACTTGCAGGTTGGCAACCCCCCCATACTAACATACCCTTTGCTCTTTTGAAATAAGTGACAGCCATATAACACTGGATAACCAGTATAAATAACAATGCCTTGCCTATGTCAAGAGCAGACAAGGTTCCTTGGGTGAATTTGATATCTTTTATTAGACCAACCCAAATAGTTGGAGAATAGTTATTAAGCTATTGCCTATGGCAATGAAGCTATTACAAAAGGAAGCTGAGTGCTGGGGAAAAAGCTACCGCTTTAGCTGCTCTGATTGCTAAGACTGCTCTTAATTTAAGTGGTATCTGTTTCCTGCTTGCCATTCCTAGTGAGCTTGCTTGGTGCATTTTACAGGGTAAATGCACATCTTGCAAAACGAACTGAGATGTGAAAATAGCTGCCACGGCCCATGCAGGGGACTCCTCGCTCATCGCGTTCCCTTAACAATGAAAGGAAACCCGCAGCGTTGTGCTGGACAGCTGCGCCTCGCCGTCTGCAGGTCACGAGCATCGCTCTTTCCATCACCGTAGGACGGACAAGAGATGCAGCTGCAGGGTCAT